GTCAGGAGGCATTATTTACAGTGTTATGGGAGTCTGGAACAAACCATGTACCTGACACTCTGGCTTCTTTAGAGAAACGTCTGGATGAAACCCTCAAGAATGTAGCTAACAGGAACCAAATGAACTGTTGGAATTAAAGACCTTCACTTTGTTGTCACCTTTCTTATATTCAGAGACCAGTGTCTTATTTCAAAGACCTTGTGTAGCTGTAATTTCTCAGCTAAAAACAAATTAATTTCACACATTCTGTGACTGTTGTAAACCTTCTTAACCTTTTTTTTGTTTCCCTTTTGGTTCTCCAATTGTTTTTTTTCTGAAAACTCTTTTTCTGAAAAATTCGAAAAGATACAACTGATGTTTTCTCCATTTTGACATTGCATTTAATTTAATTCCTTGTTTATTTTTTATTCATCTGCCTTAATAACATTTTCAGACCTTGTATGCTTTATTCAATACAGAGAAATTCACAAATTAATTAAAAATAACACTATTTGTTAGAATATAACTTTACCCTTAGTGTGCATACTGTATGTGTATATCCTGCAATAAACTGAAATCCTTTCAAGGGTGAAGTCCAGAATTGTGCTTTGTCCCTACTAGACTGGACTTCAGTTCCCCTGTATAAAGCAGGTACTGAAAATGGACTGAGGGATCTTTTCAAACTTTACTGAAACCTTTTTCATCTTTGCGAGATCAAGTAAAGATTATGAAGTTTATCTTGTGTATTATTTTAAATGTCAACATTTGAAAAAATGTATAATTTCCTAGAATAAGAAGATTATTAAACAGGTAAAACATACTGTAATATTGTCACAAAGAATAAAATTAGCCTCACTTTGAACAGCAGAAGATCAAACTCCTTAACAGATCTTAAATCAGTCAAAATGTTTATACAGATGTTGGTCTATCAGACCAGATGCTGGTTTCATTGGAGTGGCAGGAGTTAGAAACAACAAAATGGTGTTCTCTGAACACAGCAGATTTTTTACTTAAAGAAACAAAATTGTGATGCATATGCTCAGTAGTTATACAATGCTTTCTTTTTATCATGCACTATTCTTGTTTGAAATGTTCACACTGTAATTAGCAGCAGTGTAAGTCCTAACAAAAGCAGAAGTTGGTAATATGTTAGTAATGTGTGTCTGTTCCCTTTACGTACTGTAACAGGGAAAAGGGAAAGAATGTATAGGAATTGATCACTTAGAGATACTTGTAATACAGAAAGGCTGCAGGCCTCAAGGACTGCCTCAGAACCCAAAACAATTAAATTAAGCTTATTATGTCCAGGTAGGAAAATAATTAGTCCGGCTGAATGACTTAAAACTGAACTGGAGTGGCATGGTGAAGATCCCAAGACTGTTTAGTATCTCCTCATCCTTGACTTTCTAAGCTTACCTTATGCTTAAGTTACATTTTGTAAAACCTTTTTTACAGAAGACAAGAGAATTGCCTCTTGCAATTAAGGACATCTTGCACTCCCTTTCTTTGATTAAACCTTTTCTATCCTAATTATTTGTATTGACCTACATTTCACTTTAAGACAACTTTTTAGAAATACACCTTTAATTGCAGTCTGATTATGTGAAATAATCCTGAAATATCTATCAACACTACTTCTGAAACATTATATCTTTTGAGGGCATATCTTATTTTCTACTGACGCTGAGGTAATTCTAGCACACTACATACAGTATAGTGTTCTATCTTTATTATTAGAGACTTTATTATTGTTCACAAAAAATAATAACTTCTTGTTTTTAAATGAAGAGAAGCAATAATTTGACAGAACTGCAGCGTTTTTTAATAATTCATTTAACATTTTACCTTAACCATCTCATTATCACATCTCTCACCCTATATTTTGTTTCATTATGCTCTGAAAAATACTGAGCTATAAAGCAATGTTCGCAGTGTTATAACACATTAAATTGGGCATGTTACACAGTTTGTGACGTGTTAAAGACACTTTGGTGAAATTTTGTTTTACACAAATAACTCCAAACAGAAAGTAAATAGAAAAGGTTTAGCTATAAATTGTTGAATTGTAATCTGCATTCTTCTGAAGATGACTTCAGTAATGCAGATTACTATTCCACAGCTAACAGCTAGACCTACAGTGGGTCGTTAAAGGCGATTTATTTTAAAATGGTAAAATATTCCTATGCAATATTTTTGTATAGTATAAGCATCATTTTATACTGTACATTGTGTTTTTAATTAGTACTCTACATGAGATTACTTATTCTACAAATTATTTAGGTATCAAATGCGTTGAAAACTAAGGATGAAATGAGGGTCTTGATTTTCTAAATACAATGATGGTAAGCTTATAGGAGGTCTTCTGATCTTGAGATGAGTTCTTTTTCCCATCTAACACTTTGTGGATTCCTTTATATATTAGGAAACCAAATAGCTTCACCTTGTAATTTATATTAGCTATGTGTACTGTGTAAAAAATAATATTGACTTGCTGGCCTGCCATATTGCAGGCTGTCACAGTTCCCTTTCTCTTCTCAAGGGAATGCCGGCTGAATTTCAGCTGATGTCACAGGTCAGACGAATGTGAAGCACTCTCCTTATATTGGTGGCATTCTGGCAAGGGTGGGGGTAGAAACTAGACCATTACAAATAACTATTACTGTGAAAAATTGCAGCCATGGGTACAGCTCTGCTCAGAATGCATCTGTAAGGGATGTCTCTTTATGGCAGGCTGGGAACCAGCTGAGACCACATGCAATGAACATGCTAATTGGTATGCAGCTGAGCCTGTGTGGCTGTAGACTCCCACACAGTCGTGCTGATATTTCAGCTCTGGTAAATGTTTTGCAACAGAACCTGCCATCAGCAACATCTGAAGAAACACTATAATCCTATAGACTTACGGGAGCACACACAATTGAATTTCAGATACTGTGATTCATGTTTAATCCCCATAATAGACACAAGTAACATTAACCCTTCATTGTACAGGTAGCATGAGGCACAGTCCATTGTTTATTTTTTTTGTACAACCATTTTCTGACATTTCCATTGTTTATTTTTTATTGTGCAATCCTAAATGAATGTGACATAGAGGTTCACTGAACTCTCCATTGATGAGTTATCATAGTAAAGTTTATTATAGTAAGTTTCCTTGACTTGTAAATACAATAAGTGCAAATATAAACCAACAACAGTTCTCGTTAAAATAAGCCTAAACTCATATCATTTTAACATAAATAATAGGATCAAAACAGGAATGTATTGATATACTATTGAATATTAGATTAATTGTTCCATACATATGAACTGTATCTTATAGCCATCAAAACAAACTGAATCTGAATATGGTATCTCAATATCCCATTTTAAAAAGAACATGATTTCATGGTTCGGAGCAATTAAATTAATCTTGACAGTTCTTCCTTTAAGAAATGGCTGGATGAGGTCCGTGGATCAATTAGCTACTAGCTACATGGGCCAAATGCCCCCCTTGTTTCTAATCATTCTTATATTCTTAATTACAGTTTACAACATGTTCATTTAATTGATTTCAAACTAGCATGCAATTTGTTAAGCATTAGATGGAGCATTGCACTAATTGTAGTAAAAAAACAAAATCTTTGGAACTGAAATTTTGAAACTATGAGTGCTCTACATGCAATTCAGCATTACTAGTTCCGATGGATTCCCTTTTCTAAGAGAGTTAACTGTGAAAGGTGATACAAAAACATGCATTTTCTTTCTGCTTTGTTGGATAACATCTTTATTTTTTGCTCTCCCTTCTCAGTAGCCAAAAACGACAGTCTTCTCTTTTAGCATCCCATTACAGATAACTAATTAAGCCTTGAGGGGTCCATGTTGTTGCCACGGTCACTGGAAATATAGACAGCTGATCTTTTTTTAAACAGTTTTCACAGCCAAAGGACATTAATTGCTTTTGCAAATGTGGGTGTGTGTTTATGCTTATATACTGTATATAAAAAAAAAACTTTAATCACTTCAAAATAAACAAAAAAGTATTTTTATTTACTGAACATAAAAATATCATGGATTGCACGTTTACAGTACACTCAGATGACCTATCTACTGGATTCTTGTGCTGTCTTTAACACATTTCGTTGAATCGGAATATTGATACTGTATATGTATAATATTACTGTACATGTACATTATCTGTATACAGTATACACTTAAAATATGTAAGATGTTGTATTTTTATTAATACAGTATATGTGCAGAGGTTAATGTTTTAGAAAACATGCAGTGACAGCTACACCCATCTTTTTCATTCTTTTTTAATTATTGTAAATGTAAATGAAATTTACATTTTTCGAATTTCTTTGAGCCTGATATAATTGGAGTATTTTTAGTGTAATGCCTGAAATCTCTGACTACTGTATGTTGCTGTCAGAATCTACACTCTTTAGAATTTTAAAAGCAAAAGGCCAAATACGATTGTGCATGCAGACAGTTTCTTTTCCTCACATTTGTCAATGATATAGACACATGATGTAATTCTTAATTGGCACAGTGGTATACTGGTTAGCATTGCTGCCCTGGGTTCAATTCTGGACCAGAATTGTCTATGTTGACTGTGTGAAGTTTGTATGTACAGTACTCCTCTTGTTCACAAGGGATTCATCTGGACACTATGGTTTACTCCCATAGTCCTGGGACCTCCAAAGGTCCCTTCCTGATGTGTGCACCTTGGTGTACCCTGCCTTGTGCCCATTACTTATTTGGATAGCCTCCAGTTCCCCTGCAAACCTGAATACGTACTGTATACTCTCAGAGAATGTAATGAAAAATCATGACTTGAAAGTCATGACTAATGTCTGTGTCTCAAACATCACAAACATCCACCATTCTTACATTGATAGGTTTTGGCTTTTCTGGATCAACTTCTGCTGTTCTGATATTTTTAATATAAATGCAAAAAATGTACTAAGTCCTGTACACCAACCATGTCTCTTTCTCTGAAATTCTTGCCTAATAACATTTTTATTTTATGTTTATAGCTGCAGAAAAGGCCAATGCAGATTTGAAGAAAGTGGAGGATGCTTATGAAACTGTGAAAATGGAAATTAGGTGAGAGTCTAATATTATCTAATATAACCCCTTCACCTGATGAAAACATTATTTTACAGGATTTTGAATAAGAAAACTGAGAAATTATTAAATTACAAACAAACATTTGAAATAAAACCTGATAAAACAGATGAGAAAATGAGTAATTATTGAATAGAATGAACAAGTGTGAAGTGCATGTCCTTCAAAAAATTCTTTTTCTGAATTGAAATTGAACAGATTAATTCAGAATTAAACTTACTGGTCAGTAAAACCTTTAGTAACATTGGATTCCTTAGTGGGTGTGTTTCTTAGCAATGATATGAGTTTTCCACACTAACATCCACTGTCAAGCGAACTGGGGTATTGTTCTTGATAGTTACTGTATATTTGAAGAGTCGCAGATTAATTTTGTTTCTCAGTGATTTCCAATAGGACATTTTATTAAATGATAATACAGCAGGAAGGTCCTATTCTGTAGAATTGCAGTGAGTTTAAGGAAAACCCTGAAGGTGTCTGTGACTTCTGTCACCCTAACACTTTCACATACAGTATGTGTTGATGAGCTTCATCTGACTCAGAACCATACAATATAGCAGAGAGATGATCACTCTAGCCAATTTGATGGTGGCTGAAAAATAGTTTTATATGTTTGTTATTTTGTTTTTGTTTTCAAGGGAAAAAAGGCACTTTTGTGTTGTGTCTAATGGTTTGGTTGCATTTTAATTATTTGACACCATGCTCTCTAAGTCAGAAATGCAACTTTATTGGGACGTGATGCTACATCCCTCTGTTGTAGGTGCTGAATTTTAAAATGCCTGGGTGATATACTTTGTTCATTATTACTATGATAAAGTAGTTTATAATGTATATATCTCAAAATCCCTCTTATAAGCTTGGGCTAAAGTTTGCAATACTTTAACAAGGTTGTTTCTTTTGTTCCATTAAACCTTTGTTTCCAGAGGAAAATTAAGGTTTGTTAGGACACTGGGCTCAAACACAAATACATCCTAGTGCATTAAAATATGAACTCCACTCAAATTTTACATACAAGATCAGTGCTAAAGCATACATTCCAATTTACTATGTCTGATACTTACATTTTAATAGTACTTAAACATTACCTAACCAAAAATATGAATAATCAAATGCCATGAGAATGTATAGTTATGTCTTACTTGAAATTTTAAATGAACGATTCCCTTAGGTTTGGACATTGGAAAGATCTTGTACTGTGTAAGGTAATCAAAATCAATTTGTTGCCCCAATTATGACTCAACTGCTGTCATTCTCACGACTTTCACATTTCATGTTGTATTATTGACTGCATTTAAATTACTTATTATTATTATTTTATGGTTATTTTTACTACAACTTGAAGAAGTTTGTAATGACCTCTACTGAAGGTTGAACTGCAAAAGAGGAACCCTAGAGTAGGTATAGGTAGATGGTGAGCAGCAGGTAGGCATAGCAAACAGACAAAGCAAAATCAGAAATCATAGTCGGGAAACAAGCACAGTTCAAAGTCAGAGAGATACAGTGGAGACACAAATAAAGACCTGGAAGCCATTATCAGGAGACAGGGAAGGGTGATAACTTACAGGTGAAGCAAGCTTCCTGTCTGATTGTGTTTCCGTGGCAACTGGCCTGACAGTCAGGTGGAAGAGGCCTGGTTGGCTGCTACAGTAGAACCAGTCTACTTCACTACATAGCAACTCACTAATACAATACGTGTTTGATTACATGTTAATTTTTGTACTTTCTTCAAGTAAGGCCTTGGGTTGTCCTAATACTGTACATCTGCTGTTTATTTTGTCTGATATGAGTGAAATCATTATGATATTTTTGTGAGATTACATTGTTCGCATTTTTAGTAGCAGCTTCAAATTGTGATGTATGAAATGGGCTAGATGGGTGGAATGGCCCTCACATTCGTAACTATTCTTATGAAAATGTGCTCGTGGCCACAAATGCGTCAAATGATTTCTGTAACTGAACTGCTGTATTCATAATGGTTGCTTTCCAGTATCTGTAAGCTCTACATTAAACTTCTGAGTCCAAATAACATGACTTGTTTTTACTGTAAATGTTCCTTTTTACTCTGAAGAGAGGCCACTTCCAGTCAGGTGCGGTGTGACTGGTTTGGAAGTTTTTAACAGGTTTTTTAGGGCCTGTACAGTATGTTGTAACAAGAGACTCCTAGTTTGAAATATATTTCAGACATTACCTTAACTAGTATGGAAACTAGTATGAGACTTAGATTAGACTGTAAGTACAGTGGAAATGGGTTTCTGTGTATCTTTTTTTACTCAGATTACTGAGCAGTTAGCACATGTGGACAGGTGGAAAATACAGCTTTTACAGCAATCTGCACTATAGTTAAAACTTGAAAAGAAAAAAAGTGGTCTGGAAAAGGTAATGCATAATAAAACATAACACAGATTTATTTATTTTAAGTATGCAAGATAAAAACAAAAAACACTTACTGTGCTAAATAAGTACTTGTGTGTCCTTCAATACTTCAAAGAAGTCAATGGTCCTCACACTGAACTCAGAAATCTTAAGGTCATTGGTGTCAAACCATTTTTTACTTTACATTTAAAATACAAAACTGTATTTTTTTTATAACTTTCCTTCTGCTTTCCTTTCAGTTTTGGATATGGTAATTTACATTATGTACTTCACCCAGATACAAACCCAGACATTTGCTCAGTACTAGCAGTAATTGGTTAGTGAAATTACTTCAGAAAAATGCCTCAGGTGATTAATGACCTGCAACATACGAATAACAATTTCGAACAAAAAAGTAAAATCACCATTTTGTGCTAAAGAAAAGAGATTTACAGTGAAGCTTTAAGAGCCTGTCATTATAAATCAGTGCCTTTATGTTACATTGATATGGGGAGTTGTAACTGAGGATTGGATTGTGGCATTCTAGCCTGGAGGCTAACAAACTGTTCATTACAGTAGGTAATAAGGAGGTTGCAGACTGAGTAAGGAGGAAAGGTCGCATGATTTCTTAAATTAATCATATAGGGGAAAGGGTGACACTGCAAGTGAATTCACTCTCTTTTCCACCTTTGTGGAAAAGCTATGGTGAAAATATTGATGCATTATCAAAAGTGCACAGTAGGCATTAATTCACCTGCCAAAGCAACAGTCTTTTGAAGGTGGGATTTCTTATTAGCAGCCTGAAGGGGAGGCTAGGGTGAAGACCAATTTGCAGAGCAGAGTACGTGGAGAAGATAACTTTGCATTACTTGAACTGTGTCTATTAAAATGTTAAGAAATCTACATCTGTAGATTTCATTTTAGTGGTAACAATATTTGTCACATCGTTATAAGAATGTAGAGTTTTGTTATATATATTTTCAAGAGAATAAAAAGAATTAAAAATATTATTTTGATATGTTGGTATCCACCAACATAAAGGAACAGCTGTCATTCAGTAATAGTGATTGTTGTTAAAACTGATTATACCAGTGAGAAGTATGTTTTGGCACTGCAAAAAAAAAAGACTTGTTGCAGACTTTGGATGGACTTTGTGATCCATCAACACCTTTCTACATGAAACATTTGGTACTACAGTTCTTGAAAACATTCCCTAATATCAATGACAGGGCCAGCATGGCCATGTCTCATTTTTTGAATCTGTGTCATTCTTACCTGCAAGCATAAATTGGAGTGTTTGTGGCACATTACGGGCATGGTATCACATAAAACAAGAGGAATTGCACCACACATATCTCTCACCATTTATTTGCATTGCAGTTAACACATGGTCAGAAATATCACAAAGGGAACCCAAATAGAAGTATTATAATAGAATTGTTGAGTCAGATGTGAAGTTTAGGATCATACAATATCATGCATCACACCAATTTAGCTCTATTGATAAGGCAAAGATGATTTGATTTGGCAAACAATATATATATATAATGAATTCAGAAACAAACCTAATGCTATCTTCTTTGGTTGTCTATATTGTACTCAGTAAAGACTGATACTGCAAGGTTTAGTCTTTTTTTCAAAGCTGTAAAAACTACACTGTACAGGCAGCTTGCTGTAAATGCGGACATCTGGCAGTTTGCTATGCTTTTCATTTAAATGCAGCTGTCTTCTTCAAGCTGAAATTCCTGGAAAAGAGCAAATATTCTGAGCTTTTTCTTTCAAAATTATAGATCCAGGTTTGTGATTTGCAATTGCTTTCATGTGAAGGGTTGGATTGAAGTACAGATTGCTGCAGTTTGGCACATCACAAATCACACATTTCATGCAATTTAATGAAGATTTATAATATTGTGTATACATTTTTGGGGGCGTGATAGTGGGGAAAAAATACAAAGTGGTAAATTTAATGTAAAGGTAATAGTTTTTCAAAAAAGCAATTTAAGAGCATTCTTTTTCATACATTTCTGACTTGCAAGGCTTGTTTTGGGGTTTATTCTGATAAATGAAACAATATTTTTTTTTAATGACTGAGTCATTACTTGAAAAGTTACATATATTTTTTGGTGGATATCTACCTATGTACTGTATGTGAAACTCAAATGGAAGGTACTGACACTTTATTGAATTCTTATCGAAGGTGGATTAGCTCATCTCTATCACAAGACGCATCTGAACATACTCTTTCAGAGGGAATTATGCCAATCTTGTCATTTCTGTGGAGGACATCTGCTATGATTATCGTTCCATGTTCTTTTTGTCACAGGAATCCTCTTTATTTTCAACACTGACCACTACCACAACACAGACAAAGTTTCTTTAGGATGTTCATATATGAGCTTAAAAATTAAAGCCTTTGATGACTACAGTATATTGACTGTGACCATGGAGTTGCTCAAAAGCAGGACTGAAACATGTGCTTGACAAACTACAAGGCTCTTTCATTGACTGGAAATGCTGTATGACCATTCCTATGATTTGTGTTCCACCTTTGTAACTTAAAGGACTGACTAAACTTTGTTGTCAGGATATTGTTATATGGTCAGTAGTAAATCTTCGTGCATTTACATACAAGCAGAAAAAAGGAAATAAGAACCATCTAAAAAATGTGTATTGTGGTTTTTCTTAATAAACTGCAATATGTAAAATTAATAAAATTGTGAAAACTGAAGGAATAGAGCATGTACAGTATATATAATCAAAACTCATACTGCATTCATTACCACGATGAAGCTGCTTGGATAGTGTCTTGCCTCAGAGGCCTCTTTTTATGCATGAGGAACCGATTAAAGCGTTTTATATTTCAAACAAAAACGAAGGCCTTTTAATAACTTATCAGCTCCATTATGGGGTCAGTTAAAATTTTAACTAGTTTTTGTTCAAAACCATCAAAACTTTAACAGCCCTGCCTACTTTAATTTCACTTCAGTCTGATGAAGCGCTGGGAAATGCCTTATTGGTATGCAGTGTCACCAATTATCTGACAGAGCCAGAGCGCATTTCGAACTAATCAGAAATAAGAGAACAGAAATAAGTCTCCTGTGTGAAACTTTCCATTTACATATTTATGATGCAGAAATGCTAATGAAGCTAATGAGAAACTCACATAGCAATTTAAAAGTCAGGCAGATCTTCTCGGTTAACTCTGAACTGGCACGGGCTGATGCTTGGGCATGGTGCAGTGGGGATGAAGCCTGCCATCTCGGGCTGAGTTAAATGAAACATAACGAGTGATTTGTATGAATCCCTGCCTTAAGCTGTCACAAATTAACCCCACAAATACCTCACTCCGGGGATGCTCAGAAGAAGTTACTCCAAAGATAAATCAATATAACCTCTTGGAGGAAGAGTAGCAATAGAAGAGTTTTCAGAATTTATTTGTAACATTATTACTCAAGCTAAGATAAAAAAAAAACATTTGGTACACCTTCCAGTTTAACATACAGGATAGTTGTTTTAATTCATCTGACTATTACATTGGTTAAGCTATTTTGATGTTATCCCAAAACAACATGAAACTTTATGCAGTAATATGTGTTTAAAACTGTTCACATTCCACAAGCAAAAATAGGTTAGCATATTTTTTAAAAGCCAATAAATCAGTTTTTCCTCTAGCTAGAGTGCTAGCTATTCAGTTAAACTAAACTTCAGACTATCCCTACTATCACGTTTCTTTTGGAAAATGTGCTTTTAAAAGTGCTACACTGCATTTTAGTTTTTGTGAATAGATCAATTGCAACACTCACACAAACAATAGTTCATAATTGTGTCTATGAATGCGTCTCTTCCCGTCGTACATTTGATATTCAATGTTTAGTGAGTCATGCTTCTCCTTTTCCATTTTGTTTTGATGTTCAATGTGAAAAAGGAAAGATTTTTTTTCAGATAAAATTTCAACTTCATCATACAGTCCTTTTCTGTCAAGCAAAGCACTACTAAAAATATTGAAAATAAGAAAGGAGAAAAAGACAAACACATTCAATTAAATCATTTTCTGTTATCACCTATGTGATGCATTATTTTATTTTTCAGGGACCTTGAAGAGATGCTATCTACAGACTATGGTTCCAATAAAGAATTTATCTACTTGCAGAACCAGTGTTTCGAAATGACAGTTTACGAGTAAGCCAATTTTTCTATTTCTGTTCATGCTCATCTTTCAATTGAATGTGGTGATGTAAGCAGAACACTGGTTTGTTTGGTAAAGAAAGGATATTTCTGTTTTTCTGTAATTTCCAGCATGGAACATACTTAGCAGATTTGCATGATGCCTACTGTATGTAGAAGAACTTTCAAGTTTCTCTCAGGTGTGGATTTAGATTAAATCTAAAATAGAAAACCTGTCTTTTTTACTTTAATGTTTCTATGTGATGTGCAATTTTTAACCCTTTGAAATTTATAAAATAACAGAATATATTAGAACTTTATAAACTCGCTGAATGTAATAGTATTAATTGTGTGAATACTATACCTTGTCTAAAAACAGTATTGTCTTACAAAAGATTTTAATGAGATATGACATTTATATCCATAGCAGAGACAATATATTTCAAGCTAGTGTCTGTTTAGGTAAAGTTTCCAGAGCCATGTCTGTGTTTTCATTACAATTATGAAGGGTGGTACCGAGGGTGGTACCGCATTTTTTAATTTCTTTCTTTATTTTGTCCTCTCATTCTTGTTTAGAAATTGCTACCTGTGCATTATTATTCATTATATTCATTTAAGCTGTTATTTATTCCTCTTTGACATTGGGTTTGGTCTCTGTAGACTGCATCTGTAGACTAATGGCTCTGTTTTATCCTGGAATGTATGCTGTACAGTATGTTCTCCTGCCAAGCATGCTAGCTATTTAAATTTGGTACAGAGGAAAAACAAGATGTTGCCACAAAACAGAAGTCTCATTTGAAACAAAAAGATGCCTGTAGATTTGCTAATACATATTTCTGTGTGGCTGCCCCCTTGTCCTTTTTTTGGCTCTGATTATAATGCAAAAGGCCTCTTCACTACATAAACCCTATGATATCAGAATCAGTTTTTTTTTAATTAGTTTTATTCATTAATAAGGTTAAAATGTTATGTGCCAACACGAGCAATCGTTTATACAAGGCAATGAAAGATCTTCCCAATTTGCTATTTTAGGTGCACTCATGAGTGTCAACATAGGGATGCCTGTTTTTAATTTCTACTGTTTGATTTGTCGTGGTAACCACTAGCTCAAGCTGTCCTTCAATCTGCTGTTTCTACAGAATGTTTCAATTATTTATATTCGGCAAAATATCCCTCTTTACTGATGATATACTATAGTATAATGTTACATATAGATAATGTTTCCCAAACCCTCTCTCATCTGCTGATTATTTTTGATGATTTTGTCACATCCTGCTCGATAGACAGTAGGTAATAGTAGCATTATTAGTTTGAAAATCTGCTCTAAACTCTGAATTGGTAAAGAAAAAGCACATAAGATGGAACAAGGCTGACCACAGTGGATACCTTGTAAGGAAGCCATGTTATTGTATGAGAGAATGTGGCTTTCAATGACTTTTCGGTTGAACCCTCTATCACACATCCCAGCCTATTTCCTTGGGCTATATGGGCTACATTGTTAGCTATGGAGGTGGAATAGCTTCCTTGTACAATTGTGGGGATCACAGCAATTCTGCAAGTTCATGAACAAATAGCTAATTAATAATAGTAGAAAAGTAGAATATAAAAAGAAAAATAATTGGTGATTTATAACAAAAAAATAAGAGAAAAGTGGAACCCAAGAGACAAGAGATCTAAAAAATGATATAAACATATCTGCTCTATTTCACAGGTGGAGATGTGCAAGTGCAATAAAACAATGGGTTTTTCAAAATCAGCTATAAGATAATACACCATTTCCATTAGCTGGGTTTATTTTCTATTCTAAAATGGAAAAGGAAGCTGATTACTCTATTGATTTCTCTTTTCATCTTCAAGTCATGATGTTTGGTTTCATTCAATTTTTCTTACATAGGCAATTGTTCTTGTGGTTGTGATACTGGATGATTTTTACTGGCAACACTTGGGCAACTTATTTAGATCTTTTGATTTGATTCTGTTTTTGTTTCAAACAAATGCCATTCTCCCTTTTATTCTGGAGCTAGTTAAGTACTGTACTGAGCAGTCTTGTTTCTGTTTGTAACATGGTGTCAGTGCTTTACTTTTTGCCTGACTATCATTTCTGCTGCTTTATAGTACATCTTTTCCCATCTCACTTTCTGTTTGAGTGGGCTGGCAGATTTCAGGCCATTATGTCTGAGAAGAGTGAAGTGTGATGCAGGCCTTTCTTCACATTCAGCTGCTCCCTGCAGTTAGTCAATCATCCTCCCCATGTTTTGAATCACAGGAGCAGCAGACAGAACTCCAAACAGCTCTAAGAGTACTGCAAGCATTTTAGCTGCTACACATGGTGTAGCCACTGAGGTGCACATTAAAACATTGATAGAAGGCTTTGAGAAATACTAAACTTGTACACATCCTAGCTCCTGAGCATTATGCCTTTCAAAGGGATTTGCAGAATCCTTTAAATGTGTAGAATGTGAAGCCTCTGCTATTGCAGAAAACTGGGATTTAAAAGCATTACATTCATCTCCAAGCATTATAATGAATACAACAATAAGAGTGGATCTGATATTGACAGAGAATCTTAGAAGCTGCTATCTTGGAATGTACTGTATATCAGGAGAATTGTGAAAAGCTACAGTATACAGTATGGTACAATTTGTTAAAATAAATCTTTACACACATACCAGGAGGTTGTCAGAAATGAATTTCTTCTATATGAATTATTTTCTGTAATCTTCTAACTTAATTTTCCCCTGTGCGTACTGTATATTCTTGATCAAATTGCTCTTTACTGTAAGACAAGCCAGTGCAATCGATTTGTGCCAGTACGACAGCCTAAAGCAGTGAAGTGTTGCATTAGGGAAGCTACAGGCATCTTAAATGCTACTATCACTCCTGATAACAACAAGAACAATAAATACAGAGAGCTTATAATGCTAATTGACCTATTCAAACAACTACTGTACATTGTGAAAACTGAACAATAAAAAGCACTACAATTTGATACACATACAGATGCAGCCATTCAAAGTGCGCGGTACAGACACGTACCGGAGGTAATTGGCGGTACCGCGGTACGTGATTGGTTGACTGACAGGGGCACTTGTGGTCCGTTGGTCTGTTGTAGAAAGATTTACAGTAAACGTCTTTACTGTGCCCGTTGTAGTATTGAATATTCATATGGAATTTTACCACTGAAG